TTATCTTGCAGAATGGACTCTGCTGGGATAATTTTATGATAAAACACTTTTTTCAAATGCCACTGGGTCCAGGCAGGCATTTACTAGCTACGGGGGCAGCAATCAGTTTCTTCAAAATTTACTGTTCTAAGCCCATTAGAGTTCCAGCGCAGCAAGGCTCTCGATGGAAATCGAAAGCGCCTGCCTTCGTCTGAGGATGCTGCATGCAAATCTTCCAGGCTGAACTCCTACCCTTTAGTGTTAGGATGCTTTAGCAACTGATTTATGTAAATTCGCTCATAAAAAATACGGTTTATTTTTAATTGGTGAATATGAATTAGAAAATTAAGGCGCCGGTTTAGCATTCGCCGAACATCCGAGCACCCTCAGCCCCTAGCCCGGGTGGCACAGGTGAAAACAAGGGGCTGGAAGCAGCCCCTTCCCCGTGCAGCGTAGCCAAAACCAAGCACTCGTTGCCTTATTAGAGACAAACGCATCGCGTGCCTTATTCAGGCATCAGCAGTTAAAAGCATCCCCTTCTTAGGCCTAGCGCGAGCCTCTTCGTAAAGAGGACTAATTTTAGCCAAGTGCTGTAATGCGCGAGGGGGTTTTTGTGTGTAAAACATTGGCAGAGGTATCCTGCTTGTATTCCAGCACGAAGCGCTCGCAGATATTGTCCTATACAATAATACTTAACGACCATTGTCTACCCTGATGATTTACATGTGGTTTTCATTTTGGAAAAAAAAAAAAAAAAAAGAAAAGGAAGATTTTTTTTTTTTATGTTCCTGTGTTCCCCTTCACCTAACAAAAAACCCCTTTGGCTAAACCATAAAAAAAAAAATATCTTTGTGAAGTCGTGCTGTTGTTACAGAAAACCTCTCGAAACGAAGTGATGCTGACCTCATTGCGTTAGTGCTTCACGGGGACCGCCAGCACCCTAAAATATGGTGTTAGCCCCAACACCTCTCCTGCTAAGTCAACGCAACGTAGGCCCTGCCTGCTTGGAAACGTATCAAAATCTAAAGTGACATTCTCTAGCAGGCACGTTCTCGCTTTAAATCGGTGTTAAAATGTCTTTGCATGAGAACAGGCCCTTCGATGCAATCCCTGCCCCTGCTCTCCATCCCCCCCGAATCCGAGCCTGTCGAGGATTACAGCGTGCAACCTCTGCCGACAGCAGATAAATAACTGACAGTATTTTAGCAGAGTTGCTAGGTTCTCCACAGAGTAATTTGTTTTCTCCTTTCTCACCGAGTCTTTAATGTTTTGTTATAAACATCTATAGCAAGGCGCTGCTAATAGAAATGACTTATGGTCAAGGATCCGGATAAAAGGCTGCGATGGGTTTCCGAGCTGCTTTCTTGCAAGGGCTGTGCCAAGGAATTACTCTTCCCTTTGTGCAAGTGGGTTTTGCTGGAAATGGAGAGCAAAATTCTGGTGATCGATGGACAAAGTTCTCACATTTGACGAGAACTTTGTAGTGTCCCACAGGTTTTCATTGCAAGGTGATAAAAATGTCCGTTTGGTGAAGGATGAGTATATTAAGGAGATGGCAGTGACCGGTGTGGCACAATCCTCCTCTCCCCCCAAAAACTAACCCACCAGCATTTATACGTGTACGTTGTTAGGATATTAGGAATATTGGATATTAAGAAAAATCTCTTCACCGAAAGGGTGGTCAGGCACGGGACCAGGCTGTCCAGGGAAGGGGTTGAGGGCCCATCCCTAGAGGTATTTAAAAGACAGGTAGATGTGGTGCTTAGGGACATGGTTTAGTGGTGGACTTGGCAGTGCTGGGTTAGCAGTTGGACTTGATGATCTTAAAGATCTTTTCCAACCTGAACAATTCTATGATTATTCCCTCTTGCTGTCGCCCAGCGAGGCCACAGACACTTGCCAGAGCTATTTTTGCTGTAATTGGGGTACACCAGCGTGATCCTCAGCTCTACGCCCCAACCACAGCCGCATCATCCAGGCGGCATATATGTAATTTTATTATAAGATTGGAGCCTCTTTACTTCTCTCTTTAATGGAGGAGACCTGCAGTGCTTCTTTGAACTCAAGGCATTCACTCGAGCCTTATGGTTTTTCTTTTTTCCCTGTGTGCGCTGTATCATCTCAGCAGTTAAAGACTTGATAAGAGAAAGTTGTCAGAAATCAATTCTTCTTCCCCTAATTGTATGGGTGTGATAAAAGATCACATGGGGAATCAGCGAGAATTTACACACACATGCAAACAAATAGCCGCTATCAATTCACGTGAAAGATCAGATAATCCCGTTATCTCATGTCCGTACATACCAGCCTATGACAAGAGCGTGGGGAAGGACGTGGGGCAGGAGATACAGGAGCGGGAGGAACGGCGGTGGAAGTCACGATGAGGAAATTCAGAAGAAAAAAAAAAAATCTAGATTACAAAAATAATCTGAAGATTTCTGGTCTAAGGGAAAACGGTGTGCACAGAGATAGCAGTGTGCCCAGTTGCCTGTTTTTAATGTAGAACATCACAAAGTCAAAG